GCCTGACAGCCTGAGATATGTTCATACTGGGCAAAGAGATATTTATGGCATGGGGCAGCTACTTCTGAATTTTGAGGTCAGTGATCAATTATTGACACCACACTTATGGTAACTGCAGTTAATGTCAACAAGCTGTACAAACATCAGCTTTGTTAGTCATTGTTAGTACACCAATTGAGAACAGACTCTGTGGTACTCTACCAATACAGACTGAGCAGCTACACGCCCTCTGAAAGGAGCTAGAACCGTCTGAGAAACCCAACTGAGTAATCAGTGTCAATCACGCTTTATATTGTGGCTTTCTTAGATTTGTAGATCAACTTTTGCAAGGGTTACTATAGGTTTATCAGACATTCAACCATCCATTTCCATCTCCACCGAAACTTTAAGCACATTTATGAGTGATTCAACTGACAAATAGTAAACAGATATTCTTCAAACAGTGCTTCAGAAACTTCCGCTACTGCAATCTCATCATGTTTAAACCGGCTTTAAATTGTTATGAGATGCAATTAATTACACATTCCTCTTTAGTTCCCCAGAAACAGGCACAAAAATGAAAGAAGTTGTCACCGGCTGCTCACAATATCCTTTTCTGTCATTATGGATATTCTAGGGTTTTTTATGCTAAAGGACTAAATAAAGGGGGAATTTAAGCCCATTACAATTGAAAGAATTCAAACAGATTTAATCAGGACCAGTTCTCAGATTTGCATGGTTAAGTATACATTTTTTTACAAGTCTGTTTGCCTGTCACTAAAGCAATCTCTGGCCTGCTGCAGTTCCACCACACCACTCTGCCAGATTGGAGTCTCAAATTAAGCTCATGCACTAGTTCAATGAATTATTGAACCTTTTTATCTGCCCATTTTCTGGTTTCTTGCTTTTCATCTTGCAGCACCTTTTATTTCCCTTTCCCAGTACTCTTTTTAACTTTTCAGTCTGATCCTCAGTCTATATAAAAGTCTATATTCTGATCTGCTGTTCACATCTCTTCACCCCCCCATAAAAATCTCATGTGACATATCTTCCATCTCCCATCTCAGCTAATCAACTGCCATTGTCTCAACTCTACTGGGTCCTATCTAAATCCTTCATTTGTTCACGTCTCTTCTCCACAGAAAAAAAAAAAGTTTGTACATGACTGGATTTTGTTTCTTATTTGATTCGTTCAACCTCTTTGAACAGTCAGAAACTGTCATGTAAGGTTTGGTTTATTGCCCCTTTCACAGATTCAAATAGTCTTTTGCAGTGAACAAACACACTTCCAGTGTATTAATGGAAAACAAGTTGTGGGATTCGCAGAGACGAGATGCTTTCATTTGTCTCTGTAGGATTTAAATCACTCTAACAGTTGTTGAAATCCTACTTTGGCCAAAAATGGATTTCAAATGTCACAAAGAATAATCTCCACATGTTTAACGCTTCAAACAAAAACAAGAGGCATAAAAATGCTGTGGCTGATCTGTATTTGTTTAGCATAAAGTGGAAACTCTTTTCTCACTAAAGACCCCGATAAAAAAGAAGCAAAATGAATGGCAGAAATCATAAAAAGGGGATTCAAAGTTAATTTCATTGCAATATTGTAATATGAATAAACCATCCATCACTCTAGTAGTGAGGTTGGACACAGATGAAAGCTACTTTTGCTAATACATTTATTCATGTTCATGTAATTAGAACATTTCACACTTTCAAAAGAGAAATGTACGACTTGAAAGCTTCTCATTTGCCTTTTTTCCAGACTTTAATGCTCAGTCACTTAACTTTCCACCTAATTGTCTTAATATTTCTGTCTTTTTTTGCAGTCTACTGATTAGCCATCAGGCTTAGACCTCATGTTTCCCATTAAATAAAAATGAGAACTGGCAGAGGGAAAGATTCCATATTTTTAATTAGTCGTTTATCATTTTATTGCTTCTATCTACAAAAAAAGATAACACTATAAAAGGCCAGGTACCTTTCACACTCCAAAGTTTCTGTACAAATGTTTGGTGGAGGAGAGGCATTTTCAGCACATATTTATATTCAATCCCTGAGTGAAATCCAACAAAAAAGTCTTCTCAAACTTCATACTTGTACCAAGAAGTAGATTGCTCACTAAAAAAAATGGTCATGATGTTTAGTGTTTGACAGCCTGAATCCTACGGACAAACACACCCTTGAACACTCCCAAGTCCCCTCCTGAGGCTCTGTCTGCCTCTGACCCACAGCCTGACCTTCCCGCAGAGGAGCCGAATGAAGAGAGTACCAGCTCGGGCGTATGAATAAATAATGCTCCAGATAGCCCTGATATTCTGAGAGGTGATGGATCTGGAGACTGCAGCTGTGTGGGACGGGGGAGACGGACAGGCATCGCAGCGGAGGATGGAGAACGCAAAACAAACGCCACTTCTGTTTACTCTTAATGTGTTAACACGTGAACTACTGAAGAGCAAAGGCGTCACACCAGAGATAAAGATGTCTGCTTGATACTGAATTTCAACATCCAGATATTGAACATTTGTGTGAAAATCACCCGATAGGGCCAAGACGCACAGACACGAGAGACTTGGTTTTCAACCTGTGATTGTTTCGTCCCTCCTGCCTTGGCTGTCAGACTGACGCAGAGCGAGGCTAAATCGATTTGCCTGGGGAAAAGTGACGGGGAAGAACGCCGGGAAACAATAGGCCCATCACCTCTCAGCTCTCAGATTTCGACAGATCTCGCCGAGCCTGGCAGGTGACTGGGTGAGATGTGAATCCAGGCTCACCTGAGCTCGCGCTGGTTGCCATGCCGACGGAAGATGTGGCCACATGGGTGTGCGTCGACCGTGCCGACCCCTGGCCATACTTGCATACGAGTGTTTCATTAGAAATACTCTGTTAGATGTAAGCCAGGCGATTGGCTTTGCAATTGTATCATCTCCCCCGTTTCAAAAGTGTCAGTTAAAATTTCCCATCCATCCCACCAGATGTTTTCAATCCCAAATGCTTTTTGACACTAACAAAATCCATTCCCTGCAGGCCTTGGCTGTTCTGGGATTGCATAGATGTTCTCATGCAGACACGGATAAATCTATTGAGAGATTCTTCCCCTTTAAAGGAATTATGAAAAAAGAAACAAAGAGATATCTAAATTGGTTGGAGAACTGTGTCCAGTGCTCTCAGTTAAGTAATGTTAAGCTCGTACAGCGTTCTGTCCTATGTAGGCTCAAATAAAAAAAGAGACTTACCTCAGCCTGTTGAGTTTTATACAGCCCCTAATGAACTAACAGTAAAAACATAAAACAAAACCTATAAATGCAGTTTTTCACACAGTGAGTGCATCTGTCACAGGCCCAATCACTCTCTCTGACACATGCTGATCCACGAGACAAAGGTTGACTTGCTTGGCAATTTCCCATGAAAGTATGCACAGTGATGCGGTTTCCAGCCCCAGGTCAGGAGCCAATATGCACGCCGCCGTTGCTCCCAGTTGAACAACAAACAAAAGAAACCTCCCGTTTCACTACGTCAAACGATGGAAACAGCACACGATTTCACCCTGAACATGAGGTGATTTAACATCAAACAGATCCAGCACAATGTCAGCTGGTGCGCGGAGAAAGACAGAGAAGAAGAAGTTACATTCCGTGGCTTTAGACAGAGTGGAGATTCTTCTGCCAATTTCATGCCGCTCCACTTCCTTGACTCACTTGTTGAACACTTTTATTAAGCACTGCTACCAAAAAAACCTGTCTTTCTCCATCTAATTTGCTCTGTTTATCTGATGTGGAGAGCTTAAGTGAAAATAATTATACATTGATGAAATCATCAAACCATTTTAGTCATCATTCCTGAAGCTTGGGGGAAAAGCTGTATCGTCTGAGTAATCAATCAGGATATAAACCTTTTTGTGAGCATAAAAACCAGACAGAGTGTTATCTGCCCACATACTACAAGGACCTAGTCTCAGAAGGCTTACAGGAGTCAGTGTGGCTTTGAGGGCCACTGGATGAGAAGGAAGAGCTGAATTTAATTAAGTGTCTGTTAAAGCTTCCTTCTCTCACTGGCTCTCAGACATGCCTCACCTCTCGCCTTCATGTGCCAGCTGGGGGAGAGGGGAGAGGAAAGCAAAAGGCTTGTGATTACCTTTTGGATCATGCGGCTCCGAGTGTGAAATTGTTGTCATGGTCAAATGATGCACCTGTGTGGATGTGAGTCTCAAAGTAAGGGTTTCAAACAATTCTATTTGGGTACATCAAATGTTCGTTATTCGCGATTAAAAGTCAACAAGCTCTGTTCCTTGAGATCTCTTGTGTAAGCTCAGCCAGGACTTCAGTTGCTTTTCATTTACGGCTATGGCACATTTCCTACTGTAACAAATGAATTTTTACTGGACAGCTGTCAGTGAACCTGTGGCATTGTGAGTCTCCGCTAATCATCCTGGAGGAGTTCTATAATCCTCCGCTATGACGTCAATGGCACAGACCCCTCAGTATGAATAAATGAGCCTTAGACTTGACAATTTAGCATCTGTTTACGTCTGTGATGCTATATGGAGTCTAAGCCAAAGGCAATGTTTGGTGTCAGGGAGGCTCGCTGGCTGTGGGGGAGGTGAGATTTCAAAGTTAGCACGTGTTGAGGGACAACACCTCACCCACACCTGTGGTTCTGTTTGAACTCCCAATGGGGAAGAATCCCCAAAAGCAGGAATAAAGGCCTTTGAGAGTTTGTTTTTTTATTGCAATAAGCGATCGTAGTACAGACATGAGTTGAGTAAGTAAAAAATACTTGGTGTATAAACTGCATAATAATAATAAAAATTCAAATCCAAGTTAAATTGGTCTTTAATGATTGCACTGTTTTTACAACTGTAGTCTGTAGGATTTCCACATTTTTTAAAAACCAGTGATAACTAAAATTATAGCAAAATCACATTAAGAAATTTTGTAAGGTAACAGTGTATATAAATGTATAAGTAAATATTTTTAGAAAATTACACAGTGGCTAATTTTAACATAGAGAAGAAAAAGAGGATAAAAAGGTAAAATCTTGCTTTTCCTTTGCAATTTTTCAGCAGAACTGACATGCCAGTCACGTATGATTTATGACCGGAACAGATGACAGACAGCCAGGTGTGTTTTTGACACCGAAAAGGCAGGAAATAGAGGGTTAGAAAACCTGTGCTTGTAAGAATGCAATAAAGCAAGGCTGCCCCCTGGTGTCACATTAAAGAATGACACACCACCCACTTCGAAGTCAACAAACACTCCCACCCTTTTCAGCCCGTCTGCTTTCACAGGAACTGCTTCCTTGTTATGCACAGCTTCCACTTTACGCTTGTCGCAGGCCAGGCACCAGGAGTGACCGTTGAAGCCCAGACGGGAGCTGTCCTTTTGGCCTTTCCTTTCTATCTGACCCTCACACACACCCACCTTCCAGCGGCCGTCATCCATGGACACTTCCACCTCCCAGTACCAGCGGCCCCCCTCCAGGGGGCCGGAGGCTAGGACTTGTGGGAAGGAGCTGAAGCGGGCCTCGTGCTCGGCGTAGGCCTGCTGGGCCTCGCTGTAGGTCACCCTCCTGCTGTCGTCGGACAGCTGCAGCTTTGGATGGGCTGTGTCTGCATCCAAGACCGGAATGGTGCCGTCTGCATAACGGGAACATTTAGAATTTAGAGGAGACACTGACTGAACATAGAGGGAACACAGAGCACATGAAAGTGTCACTTTTCTTACACAGCAGCGTGTAGAGCTCTCTGTCTTTGCCTGGCATGGTGATGACCACGTCGTCCAGGCGTTTCTCTGTCCACTTCTGCAGACAACGCAGCCGGGCGCGGTCCACTTCCTCTGGGTCCTCACACTGCTCCATAAAGTTTCCGGTGTTTGCAGACCTGGTGAGGACAGCCACAGATTAAGTACAGATTAAAGAGATCCAGTTCCCTGTGTAATATGAGTCTGAAATCGCTTTCATACACTGTGTCTAAAGAAGTGAAATCACTTACAGTTGGGAAACCTTGCTGTATTCCTGCAAAATCAAAAACAGGAAAGCAAAGTTCTTTGTCAAAAAATGGAGTAAGCTGACAGCAATCCTTCCGTTTTATTGTTTGAGACAATAGACAAACTGACCATAATGAAAGCCTGGTCCTGCACGTGTCTGTCTCCCTTAGTATCAGCCAGGCCCTCCAGCGAGTGGAGGCCATTTTGAATGGACTGCAGGGAGCTCTGGAGGAGGCTGAGTTTGTCGGCGAGCCCTCCCAGGACCTTGGCTTCCTCCTTCATCACACACTGAAGAGCCGATTGCTCCTCCTGCTCCAAAGCCTCTCTGATTGCTGCATACTGCTGCTTCACCCCCGCTCGTGCCTCGCTCAACACCGCCTGAACGAAAGGACACAGTCTATCCTACTGACCCGTGACAATGGAATACCCAGTTGTGGATTTAATTGATAACCACAATGTATGAAGTATTGTTTTTCTATTATTCATTTGCCTTATGGAGTTGTGTGAAAATCGGGATATTTCAACTGGATATCGATCGATAGGCACGAAGACAATAGATCTATCACCGCATCCTTCATCTTACTTGACAGGTCTCTTTCATCTGTGAGAATTCAGCCACTCTAGTCTTCACTTGCTGCTCAGCCTCTTGTAGCTGTTTGATTTCGTCTTTTAAGTTTGCCTGGAAAATAATAGAGGATTTATGAAGGTTAAAATGTTTGAACCACAATAAAGCTTTGGACAGTAGCATACTATTTCTGCATGCATCACTCCTCCAGCTTTTCCGACTGAACACATTCAGTTTTGCTTGACCCGCAAAAATATTTCGATAAAAGCTGCCAATTTGGTCCATATGTAGGTTTAAAAAAGTGTTAGATAAGCTTGAAATTGGTTCTCTAGTCTACAGGAGTTCCATCAGTGTACAGTAGAATCCTGTGTAACCTTTAAAAGCATTACATAGGTTACAGGTTCGTTCCTAATGTGCTGCAGAACTCACCCTCAGCTCTCTCTCTGCCTCCCTGATGCTGATGCAGACGTGGTCGCGGTGGGAGCCGATGACTGTGCACACGGTGCACACACACACTCCACACTCTCGACAATAGATGCGGTTTATCTCCTGATGCTCCAGGCACCTCCACAGGGAAATGTCCGCCATGGGAGGAACCAGGGTGTGGTTTTGGAAGACCGTAGACTCCAGGTGGGGACGCAGGTGCTCTTTGCACATGGACGCCCCACAGACCAGACATGTCTTCACCGCCGACTGACACCCAGATTTAGGGCAATAATGACAGGGGACAGGGCCCGGGTTCCTGCTCTCCGGCCTGAGGAAGATGCCAACCCGCTCTGCGGATGCCAAGGCAGATGCGGGACCCTTACTGGGAGTGAAAGGAGGTGAGGACTCATTCCCTTGAAGGGCAGGTTTCTTAGAGGAAGCATGATTTCCTGTCACATGTGATGTTGTCTTTGGGCTTGCAGTCAGGGGGGTTTCACACAGATCTACTTCACTGGAGCTGTCAGATTCATCCAGTGTGTCTGACTTACGTCTGATCCTCTTAGCATTTCTGTCAGAATTCTCAGGGGTGGCTCCATCGTAAGACTGTGCAGATACGGGGTCCACTGATTTCTCAGGTGTCTCCTGGACAGGTGGCTGCACGGGCTTGTCTGACGAAGACGTGGCGGCAGTCTCAGTGTCGTTGGGCCGCTCTTGAGGAGAGTCCACGGTTGACCGCTTCGCAGGTTGCTCTGAAACAGGTGTGCTGGCCTTTCTCTTCCCAAGGAGTCGGCTGGTCAGCGAGGGCCTTCCAAGCATTGAGTCATCGGTACTGGGCGTGCCTTCACAGAATGCAATACAAGCATAGCAAAAATGGTCAAAAGAAGTGTTGGTGCAACTGGCATTTCTGCTGCGACGCTGACAGACAGTGACGCTGAGAGGTCTGGTTATGCACTTAAATCCACAATGGAGATTTAAACAGATCTCCATCAAACTGAACAGTGGCTGAACAGTTGGTACTATTTAACAACAGTAAGAGGGAAGGTCACAAATAGTCAGAAGACTGTAAAGAATAACATATTTCTGTCAATTGTGTTGTTGGTACATTACTTGAGAACTCATCCCATTAGTGGTCTACGATTATTTGGTCAAAAGTGAACAAAGATTCAACATTACTTTAACATAATTCTTTTAAAAAAGCTTTAGTTGGTTATTATAGGCAGATAATAGGATCCTGCTCCAGATGATTAAGCATTTTTGCTGAAAATATATTGAACATATTAACATGTGTTAAACATCAAAAGTAATTTGTTTTCTCCTCTTACGACATGTAAAGCCTCACTAAACATGGTTTGAAGACAGTTACCTTAAGATAGCAAAGAACAGGCCCAAATTTCATTAGGTAAGACCAAACTTTGTTTGGGGCATTTCAGAGGGAATTTAATTTTGTATGGATTTTTAAAAAACTCATTTAGTTTATGACCCATCACAGTTTATGGTTCTTTAAAACTGTGTGTACTATGATTAGGCCAAAATATAAATAAAATAGTGGCATAATATTATAAAGTAAAATGAACTCAAATGGTTTGTGTATTCATTGCCGTATTAGGCATGGAAAAGATATGCTTTTGTGACAGGAACCAATAACTTTATATTCAGACATTTTTCTTAGATGGGAAGCATTACTGTCTCAGTCAGACATGTTGTGCATACAGGAAAATGGAGCATTTTAATGATATTACTCATTTGACGACGTCCAGTCTTAAACAATGGTCACTTCCGGAGAGGAAGTCTCGTCAATGGACTGTAACATGGTCAGGCCTGCAGATAACCGGGCTAGTTATCAACAATAATCAATATTAACAATGCTAGTCTGTAGGCAGTTTCAAGTATTCAGTTGTAATAACTAACAACTAACATGGAGAAGAGCGTGAGCGGGAAAACTCTAGCGTTAGCTGTGACGTCTCGGTCATTCCTATTAACGAGTGAATGGGAAAGGAACATTAAGAAACCGTCGTTTTCATGTTAGAGGTCGACAGTTATCCTCCATTAACTGTACCTGTATTACTGCGGGAGGGGGCGGCCCGACTGGGTGCAGGCGACCGTATAAGACTGCGATCAAACGGTAACGTCTGGTACACAGTTTTACACTTCCACTCTGGACAGTGGAACGGTCCAGTCGGGGTGATACTCCATAAGTCTCCAATGCATCTCTGACAGAACTGATGGTTACACTTCAGGGTGACGGGCTCCCGAGTTAACTCGTTACAGAGAGGACACCTCGCCGGAGTGTCTAACGCTGCCCCCATTTTGTTTTGGCTAATGTTTAGTTTCGTTTTCCGCAACGATAGAGAGGCAGAGGCGGAGCCAAAGATTTGAATCCCGCTCCCCCCCCCCCCCCCCACAAATGGCTCTTAAAGGTACAGTCCAAGTCACATTCAGGAGAGAAATACCTGAGATGACACTGCTTGTAATCCTCTACTACTATGATGTGTTTGATTTGTAATGATAGTCTGTTGAATATACCCAACATAAATCACTACAGAGACCCTATTCATTTCAGATGCCCAATGCAGACCTGGCTGTAAGATTTTTGTGGGACTAGAGTCAATTGCTTCGAAATGCACATCGAATTAAATAAAACCTTTTTAGTTTAGAACATATGTGCAACTTCCTATGAAGGAAATTATACCTTCTGAGTTTAGCAGATTCTTAAATAATATTCTTGAAGTAACAAAACAATTGGAGGTATGTTTCCAAATATTAACCAGAACTAATCATACATCTGCTTGCATCACTGCACTGTTAAAACCTACAGTAAATTAATGGATTAAACACTTTGTAGATTGGGACCGTCTCTATTCATCTCCTTTGACAATGTCAAAACATTCCTGCTCATCATCCTCCCTAAATGTGATATAACAAGGGTCTAATTTTGCATTTATAACTTAACTAAAAAAAAATTCCCCCAAACACCAAAGTGTTGTCATGAGTTCTATAATTTCACACAGCCATCTGCCAGATCCCTGTCTTGAAGGAAAGTTGATAACGTAACAGGAATAACATACAATAGCTGTTGCTCTTTCTCTGTAAAACATCCTGCGGGGACAATGGTTCCTAAACCATTCTGTTTCTTTCTCCTAACAACATTCTTTTCTTTTTGGTAGTCTAGACATTCAGCATGTGACATGGATATAAGTCAACCAAGTTAATCTTCCATAATCTCTTAGCATTTTTGTTTCTTTCTTGTGTTTCAAAAGAGTTTTGTGCATTTTGCACTCTGCCTGTTTTTATTTCTTTGATCAGCCAGAAAAATAAAGCCCGACAAAGTTTTACAGTGAAAACCTTTATTAAGTGTCCATATAATCTGAAGGAATCTCTCTTAGTTGCTATATATTAACCCCCATTCTTCATATTTGCTTATTTTTATCTACAGGATTCATTATTTTTTACACAGGAAAATATCCACTGGTCTGGCTGGGACAAGCCTTACTAACTCATCAGCACTTCCGTTAAATACAGAGGCACACAACCTACTCTGCATCATGCTCCCACACTGTTATATTACCCTGTATGTCCCAACGAAAAAAGAGAAGGTAATCAAAGAGACTGAAACAAAGACACAAATCTTCAGACAAAGAGAAAGAGAAAGACACAGTTTATCTACACATCAGGACAGTTGTGTGTGTGTGCGGCTGGCATGTTGGTTTGTTGATCCAACAATCACTTGTACACATCGCACTCCCACCAACGCTTACAGGATGTGCATGCATTCAAACACACATATACAGAATCCCACTCACGCAGTGGTAAAGACTCCAGCAGCAGTCAGTCTTAATAGCCACTATCACAGTGTAGATACCCAAATAAAAAACATTAGGGCTCCTCTCAAACACAAGCTCTGTGCAAAGTTAGCTAGCAGGATGTGGAAGAGATTTCATTAAAACTCCCTAAATTATTTGAGTTATTCACTGTACATACTTTTAATACAACTCTTTTGGAAGGTAATAGTCTTATAAAAGTCTTAATAATGTTTTTCTACGTCTGTAAGGGGAACAAAGTGGCATATGAGCAAGAGAATAAACTGAAACTTTAATTTCTTTGTCAACCTAAACACAACAGATTTACATTAATCTGATATTATCTAACATGTTTTTTTATTTTTTATTTTCACAAATAAAACATGATACGCATTCTGACAGTGACACACACACACATACACACACACATCTAAGTGTTAACATAGTTTTATACTTGTAATTACACAATTTGTTAACATTTAGCTTGAATGTACTTCATGTGTAGGTTTTGTGTATTGGGTTATGTCTCTGACTGTGTACATGTGTATCCATGACTGTGTGTTTGTCTGTGCTTGAAGTGCAGGTGTAGAATTTCAACCCTGTGTTTTTTTTTTTTCAGGTAGGTAGTGGCTATACTATATACTCTTTTTCTTAGAATAACAGTCTCTGCCCTTGCCTCGGTCTTTGCAATGGTTGTGCAAGGGTCAACTGTCGATATTTTGGATAGAGGTGCTCTGGGCTCCGTCTAATTGCTGAGGATAATGAAGAGAGTAAGCATGATAAAGGGGCTTCAAAGGTAGGTTGAACTGGATTCTCAGCAAGTAGATGTGGAAAGCAAGCTGACAGGTTCAATAGTGCTTCTCTCCCATACAGAGTCAGACTTGCTTCCTCCTGATGTTAACAGATGTTGAGGGACCGGCTCTTCATGGGAATGGAAAAATCTAAATCAAGGAATCTGCAAGACAGAAAGCAAGAGCAAAATGTTTGTCATTTGTTCTTATGTAAGCAGAGTAAACTAGCTTCTTATATATTTATGGGTACATTTATTTGTGGCTTTGTGAAATTTATCATGAATTCAAAAAGTCCAGAACCATTTTTGCTTGATAACTGATGCACATAATGATTAGTGCCCATATAGCTATGTAAAAACAAATTAAATATCAAAGTAGTGTCAACCAAGCTTGGCTCAAATATAAATCAGTATAGGAAAAAGGCAATACTAATTTATAGGGGGCAAATGAGAAATAGACCCCCAAAGTAAACAAATACTCCACCCCATTAGGCAAAGTAAGGCCCGCAAAAAGACAGAAACCAAGAACAGAAAATAACTGGGCTGAAAACAAAAGCATAAAGAAAAACGTCTGGAGAGCTTGACTACGCAGGTTCAGAGACCAAAAAGAAGCATGTATAAACATATAAATCATATCCAGTTTTAGTTGGGAAGCATTGATAAGTGGGTTAGACATATAAATCAGGTATGTGTCAGGGAATCCCAGTAAAATGAACGAAAAGGCACAAAGAAAAAGTCAAAGTAATGCCAAAGCCCAGACATGACACACAGCATACAGCATGACTGAGTGCTGTATGTGCTTTTAACTGTTTCTCTGCATGATTTAAGAAATGTCTCGTATATGATAACTTTTAAGAAATGAAAACTGTCGTCAACTCACCTAAAGATTTGGTTAGGCATTTCCTCCTTCTGCAAAAGGAAAAAAAAGAAAGAAATGCAGATACATTTCAATGACCAGATCCACACATTGCAGATACATTAATTTTATTGCACACAAGCACCAGAAGATGGCACCAGGTAGGAGCAAATTTCTCTAAATAAGCTGCTTAAAAAAGAAAGATGGTCCAGAGCTGTAAACCAATGCAATTAGGCCGTTTATTGATTGGGGAAGGCGCTGATAACCCAATTTAAGTCTTGCAGTCTTTGGCTTTGCAATTTGGATGCTTTATCTTAACTCAATAACACCAACAGTCTTCCAGAGGAGGTGACAGAACCGTTTTCACTTATACATGTCATTACTTTTCAGCTACTTGCTTCATCTCTTTGGCAGATTATTCTTCTGGGTGGAGTAATTCATTTAGAGACTGTATGTAGACAGACCTGGAACCAGACGTTTCATGCAGCATTACTGTGATCGTAAACAGGCCTTTGCACAGTAAGTAAGCCAGGCCCTGTTATTTCCATTAATAAGCATATTAAACCATAGAGATGCCTTAGAGAAAAAGTGAGCTTTCAATGGGGTGAGGATACTGGGAGTTGTACATTTTTTTTAATATAACAGAAAGCAGAAAGGATGATCTGTCTCTGTAAATGTTCAACATTCCAAAAACCTTGCACCATTTTGTTTTGCCATTGCTTAGAGAATATAGCAAAATGTTAGTCTCATAAATGTTCAGATTACTTTTGACTATTTTATATTTGTGTTACTTTACCGATGGCAGTTCAGCTTCGGTGGTCAGAATATTCAGTTTAAATCTTGATCATTTAGGAGTGCTGTTTGGTATTATTAGCTAATAATATTGTGAAGGTCAATTTATTACATATAGATAAGTCCGGATGGGGATTTTATGCTTTCTAAATCCAGCTCATCTTTTTACAAAGGCTGCATCAAAAGCTTCATTGATCAGTCAGATCAACAGTCCACTGAGTGCTTTATGCATTTAGTGCATTGTATTTGTTTTTTTAGCAAAACTTTAACCGCCTCCTCGATGAGTATGCACTTTCTGCCTTTCTTTTTAGTTAAATGAAAATGTGCTCTTAGATATTTATTGTGAGTTTGGGCTGTCGCAAACCCCCTATGACATGAATGAAATTAAACATGCACTTTCAGAGTAATTCATCAGGTCCATTACGCCACAAAAAACAGACAAAAAATAACAAACAATTCTATAATGAGGATTAAAATGAGTTGCCTTGTATTGGTTTTAAAATCATAAAAAGAAAGAGAAACATTAATCCTTTACAAACTTTGAATAAGTGTGGGTGCATGTTGGAGCCTCACTTGTACAAAGTATATTAATTTTAATAAATGTCTGACAAGTGTTTCAACTTTCCACCAGTTGTGATTCCATTATTGTTCTCGAGCTGTAATTTCATACGATGCACAAAAAAAAAAAAATCGGATCTATTTATTTCTGCTTTTCTTCTTAATCTGAAATCTTTTATGTTGTTGAAAAGCCTGGTTCATTTTTTAGATAGACATCTAATCACATCTAATTGTTTTCCAAACCAAAATGTTGCATATTTCACGATTGGTACTGTGGGAACTGTTCTACCCATAGTCTATTCGTAAAATAAAGAACGCAACTCATGCAAGACAAACTGACAAACGTTGCTATAGAAGTTGTTTTCTTTGGGTTTCAGAGTCCTGGCATGTGTGGTAAAATGTGACATTTTATTAGATTTGCTGTGTAGTCTCACCCTTGCTTTCAGCCAGAAGCTCCTCTGTCATGAGCCCATCCTGTCGGTTCCCCAAAACAAAGGCCAGGAAGGAAAGGATGAGGGCGTCCAGAATGCCCATGATTGCCAAGATGTAGGCCCAG